TAGGTGACCCTGCTTCGGCAGGGGGGCTGGACTAGATGACCCACAGAGGTCCCTTCCAACCCCTAACACTCTGCGATTCTGTGAAAACCAGGAGCAAAGGATTAAGCTTTAACAAACAGACTTCCACCAAAAACAAAGTCGGCGGGGTTGGCGACAGAAGGACAAGAAAAACATAAGAAGCCAGCAGCAACTATGTAACAACTATTTCTAAGTCAAGTACCAACAGTATACTGCAAAGATGTACTTTGATTACTACATATGAAGATGTCATTACCCTCAGAGAAAAGAAAAATCCTTTTTGTTTCTCCTATGGTTCCTTCCCATGGCTCAGAGAGATGACCTGCTCTGACTTTGCCAGCCTTTCCTTTATTGATTTCTTTCAGGTTAATCTCCATAGCAGACTTAATGTAGCTTTACCTCTGGCTCGGAGTCCACCCGGACCTCAACTAGCGTGGCCTAGTTACAGCATTCTGACAATCAGGATGCCTGCCAACACGTAAAACAGAAATTTCATTTTTGGTTCCTAAATCTGCATCCAGTCATTTAAACAACACAGACAGGAGTACTACTTCCCACAGTGAACCTGTCAGTATATTTATCACTGAATTAAACATGACAGAAATTATGGCCATCTGTTTAGTGTTTCTTTTTAATAACCACATTTCATTATTCATTTGGCATAGTCATATACAAACTATACCTTCAAGGCTATCTCAAAATGCTTTGGCGAGACCTTGAAAAGAGCATTGCAGTATTTCCTGGACATTACGTTTTGAAGCAACAATCAGCTTTCTGGAAAAAAACAGCTTTCAGTCACGTTACTTGAAATACAAAATTTTTTAAGTGCCAAGACCAACAAAAACATTGAATCCCAAGTACTCCCTGGCTGAGGTGTTCTGCTGGGTGAAAAAATCCTGGGGAAATCAGCAGCAGCCAGTTCACAATATACAAAATTCTCAGTTGTGTCCAATCCATAGCTCTACAAACTCAATCATCAGCATGGCCGCGTGAGAACAGCATTAGAAAAAGTTCTCAGCCAACACTGTATGTTTCCACACCACCACCAGGAGCTGCTCCATAACATTCCCGTGCTTCACAACTCACACATTTGTACATACTGAAGATATGAGCAGTCAACTGCCCAGCTTTTTCCTTCCCTTTCTTCTCCTCTTGTAAAAGGTACCAAGCAGTTCCCAGTGTTCTGGGTGTCCATGATGCTGAACAGATTAAAGGCGCACACTCTCTTATTTCCTAAAATCAGCCAGGCTTTGCAAGGGGCAGACATCTCCTTTTCTTAGATGTGAAGGCACTGCAAAACGCAGACCTGACTGTGAGAAAGCAAGTGGAGTGGGGGTGGGAGTGAAGGTAATGTCCTGAAATGGTGCAGCATTATTCATCAAACCAGCTCCTTTTCCCAAATTACAGTAGGATAGCAAGTGCATCATTACTGATTCAGGAAGCCAAAAGGCTGCTTTGTCATGAAATAATCTTCAAGCCTCAAGCAAGCATTTTCTCTGCCCTAAATGCTTATTTACAATCTTGCCTACAGAAAAATACAAGCTGTACTGCACAAGAAGTAAGAGCTCTGCCAGACTGCTCTGAACCTTAAGGGTTGGCTGTTCTGTCACATTGTGCACACGCAACCAAGTGACTGTCCCACTTTGGGGAAGATACGATAAATGCTAAGGTAGCTGGAAGATCACACCTGGTATTGATAAAATCATTAATCAATATAACGATGTTACAGTTTGTTTTACTATGTTACATCTTTTGATAAAGACGTTTAGAAAAAATCTTTATTTGAACTTACCATACCACCTCTTGACAGGCTGAGGCACAACAGAAGATTTCTTTGGGATGGGAGGGTGCTTAAACAGTCATTCATGAAAGAATTCCAAGGTGCATGGACAAGTGAGATAATTGCAGAGATGGCACGTGAGCCAGGTGAAAATAGATAACTCTTCAAATGCATATGCAACAACGTACGCAAAGCCTATCTCCAGCACGATTGCTACTTTTAGGTTGCAGGAAGGGTTAAAGCTTTCAGGAACAGTCAGTAGAGCAAAATTTAAGCGTTGACTGTGTTCTCTACCCATATATTTAAAACATTAAGGTGGTTTTCTTGTTGAGTGTTAGAAGTTTCAAACTTGGAAAATTCAGCACTAATTATCACAAAAAACCAAACACGTATGTCTTGCCCTCCTTCTTCAGAATGTGACAGCTGAACTCTAAACTCTAACTAGGCATCATCACAAACATAGAAATTGCAATTAAGCTCTGTGCAGTCATGTTCAAAGTCCTCAGATTCTCTCATTATCCTTTTCACAGTGGAGTCTATAATCATTTGAAACACACTGCCAAACATAATGCTAGTATTAATTAATTTAAACCCACTATCATAGTTACAAAGTGGCTCTCAGAAAAATATTTGTTACTGAGTAATACAGTTTTGGTATTAATTCACTGTTTTTGCTCTATTGTAAGACTGAATCATGCTTTAACTTTTACTATACATATGCAACATTTAAGGTGATCAATACTTAAGCTGTTGATTTGCTGCAAACCATTGCTTTTTGGAACCTGCACAGGTTGGTGAGCATTTAAACAGAAACATAAACACGATGATGACAGTATTTCTCTGAATTGTGTGATTCCAGTCTTGCACAATATTAATCTACAAAAGGAAAGTTCAGTTTAGTAGCTGGTTTTGACAAGCCCGCATAGTGAAAATTAGGACTCGAACTCATTAGTTACTCTGTTCTGCTGTAATACTAGGTTTCATGCTTTTGACCAAGCTTCCTGTAAACTGAAACAATTCACTCTGGTACTAATTCTTAAAATAAAGTCTGAAAAATTTCAAAACCCGAAACAGTAAGGGAGATAAATTCAGAACGGAGAATCATGAGGACAAGGCATAGCATGTTTTAGGAAGAGCGATTTTTGGTGTACTTTAAAAGATGGTTATGCTGAACATATTTCAGGCACAGTTAATGAGAGACTTGACTTATAAACATAGCAACAATGTTTGCAGTAAAACAAGGCATGGCTGCATTTCATTACTTCAAAAGATACTTAAAAAATTCCACTACTGATGACCTTGACTTCAACCAACAAATACCTGGGCTTCATCAGTTAAGAAACTCTCGGTTAAGGGCTAAAACGCGTGACAATACCGGCTGACCTCACAGCAGGTTTGTGTTTGACACCAGGGCACAGACGAGGTCCATGGGGAAGCCGCTGTTCCCAGTCCACTGGCTGCGCCGTGCCGGAACAGCGTGCACACGTACTGACGACCACGCGACATCTCCGCTCCCGACCCAGATACCCAGATGTGCAGGCACAGTGCAGTGGGAGAGCCCAGGGTACTAACACCGTCCTAGGGCCGCCCCAACCCACTCTGCTTTCAAGCAAGAAGTGCTCACATAACCTGCACCAGAATAGAAATCAACATTTCTTTCTAAGAAAAGTCATCTGCTTTGAACTTGGCCACCCAGACTGGCTCATCATTAGCCAAGTATCTCACAAACACAACCTACCGCAGCATTTTACAAGATTAAGTGGGAAACTTTAGGACAAACCGCTCCCACTTCAGTAGCTCAGAAAACATGAAACTTCAAGTTTTTATCTTTACTCTCTTTTGGAAGGTCCAAAAGTTGGTTACCTCTCGTTTAACACTTCCTTCCATACAGTGTTAAAATCTGGATTGAGCAAGTAATATCAGTGTTATTACCACATCGAAAAAGTACTGCTCTTGGGGGAGGGCGGGGGGGGCAAGGTACAATATTTCATTTGCTAATACAGTTAATCTCCTTTATGTTTCTTGAAAAAATAAAAGTGTAAGAAAACAAAAAAGAAAACAGGAACTGCACCATAGCACTTAATGAAAGCAGGAATATTTTGACATCCACAGCCACACCCCAAGCTGCAAGCACAGCTCAACAGCAGCATTGCTCTCAGTAGCCCCATACATATGAGGACATTTCAACAGCACGACTCTTCAGCAGCAACATCAGAACACTTCTGTAGGAGCTGAGAACGTACCCTACAGTTAGACATTCCCTGAAATTCTTGTTACACTTTGTACTCCTGTTTTAACAATGAGCTTTCAGAATGCCCAAGATATGACTGAGCAAAAGCATATTAATACTGTAAGATTTAGTAAAGCTTTAGCTTCATAAAAATACCACCTTGTTTCCATTGCAGTTCCTTAATAGTTATTGCATTTCTTGAATCAGCTAATGCACAAGTCTTTTTTTAATCCTATGAAAATATCTAGTACATGAACAAAACCTGACATGCTTTTTGCATACCATTAGTTTCTGCAAATTTCTGTATATCAGCCAGAGTTTTCAGTTCTTTCCTTGGGCAAGTCGAAACACACAAAGCAAGGGACTTGATCCTCTGACGTACTAGATCAATGTTGCATGGATCCAAGAAGAACACATACCTAGGGAAGAAAAACAGATTAATTACTTCTGTTCTAGTTAACAATTACACTGAACAAAATCAAGTTGGACTCGATGATTCTTATGAGTCCGTTCGAACTTGAGCAACTCTATGTTTCTACAAATTTCTTTTCAAACTAAAGAATTCAGCCAAGACTAACCTTCAGTCTACCCAGAAACACAGGAAATTTGGTATTATCATAATAATGTGGGTCAAACAAATTCAGGTACTCACACGCACGACAAACAGACGGTTATTCATATACTTCTGGATCACAGAGAAAGGATTTTCAACTCTGCCAGATTCAAATCCATTCAAATGGTGCTGTTCATAAAAACAGCAGCACTGCTACCATGCCTCTTCACAGATACAGGTCTAAACATTCACAAATAAAGCTTCACTCCAACCTTAAACTTGACTTCAAAATGTCCAACTTCTTCCAAAAAGACCCACCAAACCCCATAAGGTTATACTTATGCTGCAAAAAGGACAAAGTCTGTGGCTATTTTAATGAATACACATAATACCAATAATTAAGAACAGTCTTTTGGTTTAGATTGATTTTCCACACCACAGGTCCATATGACTGTGCAGACTACTGTAGTGTTTATTTTTAAACACAAATTGTTCAGATATTTCAAGTAGAACTACCTAACCTTCAAGTGTAATATTTTAGAGATTCTATATGCTAACTTTCCATGATGAGTGATTTAAAAACCCAGTTCGTGAAGTATGTATTACAGTTTCCCAGCCAACATCTTCTCGTGGCTATACACATTTCATCATGAACACTAACCATACAATATTGTCCATTCATGGTATAATACAGATGCAGAATGTTTTGCTATTCTGAAGTTAAACAAGTCTTTCCAATTCCTACAATTCTGGTGATATGCTATGCATTGAAACACCCTCTTCATATTCTCTAACATCATCACAGGAAAACAACACCAAACCACCATATAAAACGCCACTTCTATTTCTGCAGTTCTCTGTAATCAATAAAAATCCTTTCTGTTCCCAGAAAACATTTAGTTCCTGCCTGAACACTTTCAGTCTATGTGCCAGTTGCTAACTTTCCCCCACAAAAAGACTTCCATTATCCGGAGTCAGTATACAAGAATTATTACATCTTAGTACAGTTTTTCAGTCCTTCAGTGCTTCCTGTCTTACTTCCTGAAAGCCCACCAAAACCCATGTCATCTGTGTCAATTGTAATGTTGTAATAGACTCCGTGCACTCTCAAAACATTTCCTTTCCTTGTCCACATCTCTATGAAAATCTCCCAGTACTATTTCTGATTTTTGACTTAAGACATACTACATACCTCAGGACTCCATAGATCATGAAAGTCTAAGAAGCAAGTGCAAATGTAAAAAATTCTGTCACGCACACACACCCAAGGTAACTGCATGTGAGCAGGAAGCCTCTAATTCTACATTTTTCCTTTACTTCAAAGAAAATACTTCAGTTGATACAAAGATATACAATACTTCTGTTAACTGCATGCTCCTGTTATTTCTCTTTGTAAGGACAAGTTCCTGCAGGTGCTATTCCATACCACAAGGGCACATGGAAAGAGAGTGCCTGCTCCTTTGAGGGTATCTGATAAAAGGAGCTACGAACAAGAAGCTACACAGTCCAACCTGACTGACATGTGATAAGGGAGGTTGTGACGGGAACAAACCTGGTCAGTCACACTAATTGGTAATGATATGAGGACTGTGAGAATTCTTATCTTTCAGTTAAGATTATCTGGCTAAGGACCTTGGCAAATTATCATGATAAGGAAAAGGAGGGAGATAGATACTCAAGACATAAAACTTGACCAGTTAGTTCTGACCAGTTGGTTAGTTAACTGCACTTAGAACAACCAGAAACTAACCTGGTCAATCACAGTAATTTGTGGGTCATCAAGAAACAGCAAGGGTGCAGGATGCAGTGGGGGCACTCAGAGGGACAGCTGCTGAGGGAATGGGTAGGGGACTGGATTCAGGGAGGGGTGTAAAAGGGGCCAGCCGCGTGTAAGCCAAGGCTGGTCAGTACGCTGTTCTGACCAAGGCCAACGCCTGATCACTGTAGTCTGTCCTATCTTCTTACTAAATATTTTCTTAACTCTCTCTCTACGTAGTAACTCTGTGATGTGCATGGGTGCTGCAAGGACTAAGTGCCAGCTACTGGGAGGGCCAGCATGAAGGACTTAGTGTCAGCAACTGGGAATAAACTGGGGGTGTCAGAGGTGCCCCAGGCCTGCGGTGTCAGTTACCAAAGTGAGTGGGGTCTCAGTGCCAGTGACTGGGGCAGGGAGGGCTCTTGGCCACTAGGGTGGGAAAGATGCGTGTCCCCAGAAAACAGCTACGGGAGGGGAGTGGTGTGTGTGCAGTGTAAGCGGGGGCTCCGTGGCAGTGGCTGGAGCAGGATGGTAGGTCAACAGCTGGCTGTTGGCATGGGCCAAGCATCAGTACCCTCCCCAGCGTGGGCATGCGCAGAGTGTGCATGGACAACTCCGCAGCGAACGGCAGGCTGTACAGCTGGCATGTGGGAGGCTGCGGATCCAGGCAGGGCTTTCAGCTGTGTGGAGGGGCTGTGCTGGTATCTGGGGGAACCTGTGAGGGCAAGTATACACATGCGGGGTGGGGGAGGGTGGTAAGGGGGCTTGGGATTGGGGCAGGGGTGCTGGGTGGGCAGGGAGTCTGTGCTGGTACTTGGGGCATCCATCACTGTGAGTATGCTTGTGAACCTGGAGAGTGCCATGTGGGTGCCTGCACTAGTGACCTTCCGCCTCTGCCAGCCCACGAGGAGGGGATGTGGCCATCTGTGCCTGCGTTTTATGTGTGCCCTGCATGTGGCTGCTGTTGAATGCAGCACCTGGTCAGTGCCAGCCCACGTAACCAGCTGTGTCAGTGTCCTCTGTGTGTCTGTCCATCCACGTCCCTCAGCCCAGGCAGAGACCCTCGGTCCTACAGGACTTGGCTCCCGTGGCTGGGCAGGAGGTTCTTCCAAACATCCCTTAACACTTGTTACCAAGAGAAGCCTAAGGAAGCCAAGTCAGGAACATCAGCACTAACAAGCTAGAATCCAGCCCCCAAGCTATAATTTTCATGGACAGAAGAAATTAGAATTTTTTGTAAAATAAATACTACTGTTTTAACTCCAGTCTGGAAACTTAGAAACACAATACAAATATACTGCCATATGCAGTTTTGACAGAAATGTGCTGTGTTAGCATACCCTTAAACAGACACATCTAATCCAAACACCACATTGCATGGTTCACAGACAGTTCTGATAGCAGCAAGGCAGATGCAAAGCAAACTCCAAGCTATCAAATCTACAGCTTCAATCCATGGTCTAGAATGACAGAAGTAAGATTTTTTGTTTTAATTTCTAGCAGTTAAAACAAACATCAAAATGCTAGGCAGCAGCATTACAGAGGAAAAAATACTGTCATTTTTTGCTTTTAAAGCTAGGATTTATTGAAAACGTGATTTTACTGAAGAGAATTCCATAGTGTGGCACAACAGGTTTTATTTCTCACTAGAAGAATGTACTTACATGCTCTGTACTGCAATTTCAGTTATTCAGAATCAACAATACACTAATTTGTTGATAAGAAAGTAACTTAGGTCAGCAACACAAAGACTGAAGTAAACAAAGTAATCATACTGTTATAGATGCTTCAACACTGCAAATGAACGTTTGTTTGCTACTGGAAATTCAGTATACCAGATTTACAACCTAGGAATCAACTTTACATGTCTTTATGAAGTACCAGCCCTGCAGAGAAGGACTTGGGGGGGTACTGGTGGATGAAAAGCTGGACATGACCAAGCAATGCGAGCTTGCAGCCCAGAAGACCAACCCTATCCTTGGTTGCATCCAAAGCAGCATGGCCAGCAGGTCGAGGGAAGTGATTCTGCCCCTCTGCTCTGCTCTGGTGAGACCCCACCCAGAGTCCTGCGTCCAGCTCTGGAGCCCTCAACACAAGAAGGACATGGACCTGTTGGAGCAGGTTCAGAGGAGGGCCGCAAAAACGATCAGAGGGTTGCAGCACCTCTCCTGTGAGGTCAGGCTGAGAGAGTTGGGGCTGTTCAGCCTGGAGAAAAGAAGGCTCCAGGGAGACCTTACAGTAACCTTTCAACGCCTGAGGCCTACAAGAAAGCTGAAGATGGACCTTTTACAAGGACATGTAGTGATAGGAGAAGGGGTAATGGCTTTAAACTAAAAGAGGGTAGATTTAGAATAGATATAAGAAAGTAATTCTTTACTGTGAGGGTGGCGAGGCAGTGGAACAGGCTGCCCAGAGAAAGAAGTCAAGGCCAGGCTGTGACGGGTCTTTGAGCAACCTGGTCTAGCGGAAGGTGTCCCTGCCCATGGCAGGGGGGTTGAAATTTGATGATCTTCAATGGTCCCTTCAAAGCCAAACTGTTCTATGGTTTTGTGATTCTTTAATCTTAACAATTCACTTTTCTGAAAATCAAGATTTGTTAAAAGAACCTCCCAAATATGGCATGATGAAAAAGTTACTTGAGTAAAAATAACTGCATGTAATTTTTAATATAGCCAAAATAAAAATCAGAAATTTTAAGCTTACCTTTAATTTTGATTCATATACATATAGGAAAATAAGGAAAGAATTTATTTAATGTTTCAAAAGCCACAGTGTCTGACAATAAGTTCAACAGCAAGTTGTCGATCCTGAGGCATGTAATTCAAAATGAACGTCAGTACAGCTTTCCAAAATGCGTCATAAAATTTTTTATACAGATCTATAGGGTAACCTTACTTGTGCTTTACGACTATTTTTGGCTTATACTTCAACATTTCTTTTTTCACTCTGAAAGAAGAATCCAGATTTCTAGGCTAGTAATTCAAAATATAATTTCAAAATGACAGAAGGTTAAAAAAAAGGCATCAACAAATTTGGCTTCTCACTTGTGGCTTACTAGAAAGTCTGCTATTAACACCTACAAGAAATACAGCAGCCTCCTCTTCCCTTGCAAAATCAGGAAGACCAAGCATCATAATTTTGTACGCTACACCTTGATTTTGGAAACATGGTGGCAAATCATCTGAACAGCCTATCCTACCTTCAAGTACTCTACACTCTTACATTTGCCAGCGTCATTGATCATCTGTCATCCCTCAAGGCATCTCCCTCTAGGCAGACAGGTACTACACACAACCATTTGCTGTGATCTACAAGCATCTTATCACAATAATCGCAAAGTGAATCAAGTGATCACACACAGTCTAAACAAACTACGTGTATTGTATACACATTTTCACTCCACCAAATTCTCTGCAGCGTGCTGCAAACTCTCCCTTGATTTTCCCACAGCCTAAAACCCAAGCATTTATTTTCCTGAATCAAAGGCATTTATTAAGATGGAATGCCAACTTAACTCTTCGTTGTAGCGGCACATGCACATCTTCTCACACTTGAGTAAACAGGACAAACTGAATTCTGTTCAAGCAGCAAAGTATTGGTGATCAAAAAAATCACACCGAACTAGCATTTCAGGGTCTTAATTTGGCTGCCACAATCATCACTTATTCGCAAATAAAAGGTCATTTTTTAAACCCCTTGTAACTGCCAAAACTTGAAGAGCAAGTAGCTTATTTGAAGGAAATGAGTTGAATGAGAATTCACTGCCAAGACTAGATTGCAATCTCATGTCTGACTCTGGAGCACAGCCTATTAAAGCTGTACTGTGTTTTCTTCATAAACGTAAAAAGACGCCCGATTCACCCTTTGCCGATGAGACCAGGCTGTAAAATCCTCCTTCCCAACACTACATCTCATATCACTGGTTTCAGCATATCTGATGAATATGGATCAAGCCATACGCCTGTGAGGACTCTGCTCCTCACCCTTACCACCCAGATTTTCATATCCACACAGATCACACCCATTTCACTTCCTCATTACAGTGCCTATGGGTTGCTGTCATTTACAAGGAAGAAAGTGTTATTTTTACCAATAATTTAGCTTTTCTGCTTTGGACTGGGAAATGAAGATAGAATTACTCCACAAGCAGAATAAAATGAGAATAACTTCATGTTTACAGAACCACATTTGTAGAGTTTAAAGTCCTTTCTTTCTCTACACAAACTAAAATGTACAGGCAGTAAGAAGAGTTTATTTTTACAGTCTGTGTGAAAAGTATTTCTACAAAATAGCGTGAAATACTCCTCTGAACTGCACCTCAGACTGCAGGAACTCCATCTGCTAGAGACAGACACAAAGATACTTTCTTCCAAAAAACTGCCTAAAATTTAAAAAGCTCTTGGATGTCAGAGTGGGAAGGATTACTCACTTATATATAAGAATTCGCCTCTTCCAAAGCCGGGTACCCTGGACCGTACTTCACTGTGAACCGCTACAGAGTAATCTGCCTTGGTAGCAGGTTTTCTCTTACTCTCAATCAAACAGAGATGACGCTACCCCATATGAGTGTACCCATTCATTTGCTTAGGTCATGCCTCAAGTCATGATACCTTTACTAGACAAACATAATCCTTTTGAACCTTAGGAAGGCTTTGACAAGTGACATGCTCTGTTTATCAACTGTGCTAAAAAGAGTCTCTATTTTTATTTGTTGTCTTTCAATCTCACCTTTATGAAAGGAAATCACTTAGCAGTGGTAGATGTTTCTCCTCATGATGGCCCAATTTCTGTCACTTGCAGGAGACTATTACGCTATTGTTACATTTCAGTAAGGTGTCTGAGTTTCTCTGCCTTCACACACACTCAGAGACCATTGCTTTCTACAGGTGAGCAAGTTTAAAACTGTATTTTTAAACTTTGTATTTTCTCTCACAACACAAGAATAACAATTTTGTATTGAATACACCTGATTTCAGAAAGTGCTAAAATATTTATATTAAAAAAGCAGAAAATTTGTGACAATCTTTTGACAGAAAAAAAAGGAAAGCCATTTTATTTAAGTCAAATTCTTGTGATAACACACCAGTTACCTAGCCACATCAAATTTTAAATCACGTATTTAGAAATTTTTACTATAGTAACTCAAAATGAGCAGATCTTAGGAAAGCATCCTTCCAAAACAATCCCTGCAAATTACGGATTTTCTGTTAGTCTGAAAGCAAGGTGTGAAGTAAAAGGCTATTATACTCAGAATTTAAAGGCTTTTTAGTTCTTTGAAGTTAACAACAGCAAAAGAAACATCTTTTTTTGTCAATTAGTATCACTGTTCTCAGGTTACACTAAATAGTTTACTTTAGAAAGTCACACAAGTTGTACAGATGCACTGAGCACTGACTTGCAGACAGACCTCAACAGATGTTCATGGGTTTCCAACCCTTCAGTCCAGAATTCTTGTTCTTCAGCTCCAGTACTACTACTGCAGTATGACTTTTTCCTGCACAACAGGAAATACCTGTGCTGGTTCTGACCTGTAAGCATGTGCTTTCACAGGACACTGCTTAATAAAGAGCTGTGTGCTGCTTAGACGTTTTGTGCATTTTCTCTGCATGCCATTTCTATACATTCTGCTTACAGTTTAAATTTTAAAGTCTCATTTCAATGTGTTGGATATATCCCACCTCCCCCTAAACTCAGCAGGGGAAACTGAGCATACAACATCAAAAGCAAATCATTTCTACATAGCTATCAAAGGCCTGCTCCCAAATCTCAGAATACCTAAAACTCTAATATACAAGATTCTTCATTGGTCTGATACAATCCCCTACGTGAACTGGATGCTAAGAAAGGAAAATTCCTCAGTGATTTAGCTGTACTCATTGCATACCTGTCAACATACACTCTCCACATACTGTTGCTGGTTGTTACAAAAGATTGTTGTTCTCTAGGTGAGAAGAGTGGAGAGGACAAGTAGGAATCAGTTAGCATATCCCTTTCCCCATTTTATTGAAAATCTGCTCTCAAAGGAAGAAAGGTTTTGCCTTCCCTGGTATACAGAAAGAAGCAACTGAATCGCATACTCACTTCTTGTGTGTGAGGTCCAGACCACTGTTGATTATTCCCTCCACCTTGACATTTTTCTGTCCACAAATATTTCCATAACTGTCATATCCTGAAAGCAGTCTTGCAGCTGCTCCTGTAGCTACCGAAAAGCCACAGATAAAGCCCTAATGAGAAAAAAAACCCACCATTTAGTAATACTCTGTTTGACAGCTGGGAAAAGTCAGTTTAATTAATTTGCTTCCATGCACAGTTTTTTCTGAAAATTCTTTCAGACTGAAAATGGAAAGACCAGGACCATGCACAGACAACTGTTGTGCAATTATAACATTAAACTTAAGGCAAAAAGAGGATTCAAATGTCTTATACTGCATATTATACAAGCAGTACTAAGAATCTTGTAGGCTGTTTTTTGAGAATCATATTGCCAGCAAGCCACGCACGAAGCAGAAGCGAGGCCAAGGGCAGGCAGCAAAGGAGAGCTACAAGCAGAGATGGAGCTGTCACGGGTTAGTGTGCACCTTAGAAGATTCCAGACAGTTCACATTTTCTTGCTTTAAGATTTTATTTTCTTCCTCCAAATTACGTGCTTTCAAAGATGAGCTAGAATGAAGAGGCCTGTCTGACAGAAGTTCCTTTTAAGGAAATCCTCTAAAGCAAGCAACTAGGTCAAGTCCACTATGATTCCAGATGCTGGGTTCAAGTGCAGGAAAGAAACAGACAAAGAGCAGGAGAATGCAAAACAGCTCAGAGTAACATGCAAAATATCCAGTGTCAGGCAGGTCTTGCTGTGAACTTTCAGAGGTATTTCACTAGCAAAACCAAGATCAAGGCAGTGACAATATGAACAGGAGATGAGCAAAAGAATCATTAGCTCTCTAGCAACACCACTGACAGGGAGAAGTGAAGCACCGGCGGCTCGCTCTGCTACCATCAATGAACTGCTTTCACAGACGAGGCAAGCCAAGATTTGAGAAGGGGAAGCAGAGCTGACAAACACATGGAGCAGCAGATTGCAGCAACAGGATCAGACGAGATGATGACAACAGGTAATGAAGTCAGCATGGAACAGATAAAATGTGGGTGGTTTCAAAGTTCTGAAGATACAGGATAGTGACCTTCTCTGACGGACAGGCTATGACTATAGAGAAACTCCAGGCAGCAAGTCGTTCATTATATGTCTCTGGCGAATGCACTTGTAGACTTAACACTCAAAGTGAAAAACAAGGGCAAACTGAGCAAAAGGGTATCACAAGTAACAAACAAAGCTGATTTCCAGAACTTGTTTTCAATTTCTCGGATCCTTTACTATTCATTGGTTTGTCTTGAGTGTGCCCACTAGGCACATACAGGACAACCAGGGGATCAGGCCCAGCCAACATGAGTTTCTGCAAGGCAGGTCCTGCCTAACCAACCCAATCTGCTTCTATAACCAGGTCACCCGCCTAGTGGATGAAGGAAAGGCTGTGGATGTCATCTACCTGGACTTTAGTAAGGCCTTTGATACTGCTCCCCACAGCATCCTCCTGGAGAAGCTGGCGGCTCAAGGCTTAGACAGGTGTAAAAAACTGCCTGGATGGCCAAGCCCAGAGAGTTGTGGTGAACGGAACTAAATCCAGTTGCTGGCCAGTCACAAGTAGTGTTCCCCAGGGCTCAGTTTCGGGGCCAGTGTTGTTTAACGTCTTTATCAATGATCTGGATGAGGGGACTGAGTGCTCCCTCAGTAAGCTGGCAGATGACACCAAGCTGGGTGGGAGTGTTGATCTGCTTGGGGGTAGGAAGGCTCTGCAGAGGGATCTGGACAAGCTGGATCGATGGGCCAAGGTCAATTGTATGAGGTTCAACAAGGCCAAGTGCCAGGTCCTGCACTTGGGTCACAACAACCCCATGCAATGCTGCAGGCCTGGGGAAGAGTGGCTGGAAAGCTGCCCAGTGGAAAAAGACCTTGGGGTGTTGGTCGACAGCCGGCTGAGCATGAGCCAGCAGTGTGCCCAGGTGGCCAAGAAGGCCGACCGCATCCTAGCTTCTATCCGGGACAGTGTGGCCAGCAGGAGTAGGGAAGTGATTTTGCCCCTGTACTCAGCACTGGTGAGGCTACACCTCAAGTACCATGTTCTCACTACATGGCACCTCACTAGAAGTAAGACACTGAGGTGCTGGAGCGTGTCAAGAGAAGGGCAATGAGGCTGGTGAAGGGCCTGGAGAACAAGTTTTTTGAGGAGCGCCTGGGGGAACTGGAGTTGTTTAGCCTGAAGAAAAGGAAGCTGAGAGGAGACCTTATCACTGTCTACAACTACATGAGTAGTGAGGCAGAAATCAGGCTCTTCTTCCAAATAACAGGCAATAGGACAAAGGGAAATGGCCTCAAGTTACGCCAGGGGAGGTTTAGATTGCGTATTAGGAAAAATTTCTTCACTGCAAGAGTGGTAAAGCATTGGAACAGGCTGCCCAGGGAAGTGATGGACTCACCATCCCTGGAGGTGTTAAAAAAAATGTGTAGACATGGCATGGTGGTGATGGGTTGATGGTTGGACTTCACGATCTTCAAGGTCTTTTCCAACCTTAGTGATTCTATTATTCTATGATTCTATTCCATAAAGGACATACTAGCACGCATTTTACATATACAAGTACTCAGGCTCTTAGCTGATTCTCCATCTAATCTAATTTAGAACAGTGCAGGGATGCCCTCCTGACTCATCATGGTACTTCAAGTTAAGTCCTCTAGAACAGTAAGTAACAGATTATTTGTCCCAATAGGATAATTGCTTTGTACATTACATTGCTTAGATAGGAAAATCTGGGACACTAACCCACAGTAGACTAATTTATAACTGGGGGATTAAGTAGGTATAGACTGAGTAACCAGGGAACATCAACAAAGGCAGCAAAAAAATGCACACAAAAGACAACCTCCTTGATTCAGGAAGTACTGTGCTTTTTTAAGATTCTAAGATATTCACATGTTACAGTGAGAATACAATTTGTAGGACTTCAACAAAAAAAATTATCATCTTTGCATTTGAAGTGCAGCCAGTGACAAACACTTTGGGGAAAGAAAAATAAATTTTTCAATGGAGTAATTCCAAAGACAGAAAAGAAAGCTGACAGCACAGAACTCCCAAACTCCTAAGGGCTACACAGCAGTACAAGACAGTGACAGACAGTGACAGACATTCTCTGTTTAGGAAGAAAAGCATGTGTGTGTCCATGAAACAATACAACATGAAAAGAAGCATATTTTTTTTACTAATCTGCAGCTCTTGGAGGTTTGTTTGCTTTTTAATATAAAGTGCACAGTGTTGTGAGGTTGTCTTGAGCAAGGTGCCTGTTTCATTGCACTAGGCAAAACTGGGATAACTTGGAAAGAAAGATCTTACCATTAGTATTATGATTATTAATAGGAGGTGCTTCTACTAAGCATCCAAGACAAAAACAGTCAACTGTCTGATATTCAGAATCTTCGAGCAAAAAGTTTAATGTGATTCACAGAACTGTTTAACTGACTCAAAGCTACTATTTTCTGGGACATCCACAGTCCCATAAGGAACACGAGTCGAGTGAGACCTCACCACGGGAAAACCACTTACAAATGAAACTGGAGTTTCAGGGCAGGAGGAGCTCAAGCAAGAACTGGCACAAACATTAAATTATGGACCCGTACCAAAGGCCTGTGACATACTACCCATTTCTGTTCCACAGCTGACAGACCCTATGCCAGTATACCCTGATCTTACCCAGTGACTAAGTTAATGAAGAGCTTTAAAGTTTCTTCCTACTGAGTGGAAACTCTTCAACCATGTAACATTTACAGAACACTGGGTTTTACTCACCATTCCTACACAGAAGAGGATGAATAAGAGCAGCCACGGTACATCTGTGCAGCTGTGGTCCTCCAAAGGCTTCCACTCTCGCTTGGAGCTCTTGTGTGAGAAGAGAGAGATGAGGTTAACAACACCCTTTTAATTGTCTTGTGCTCATAATAGAAAAAAGCAGAAAACGAATCTTCAGGGCTTTAACATACAGCAAGAATTATCTTTAAACTCTGATACAGCTGAAGCAACTTGGCCAAAAAACTTAGAATAAAGGCTCACGAAAGACACTTCAAAAGAAATGCCTCCACGGGAAGCTAGATTGACAGTTTATCCATGATTTTACACGCCTTTATCCACGAAACAGGGTATTTTCACTTTTAGTTTTATTAACAGAAAAGAGAAGCTAATGGCATGGAATCATCTGCTATTGCCATATTCCACAGCTACCTTCCAGTAATCTGCTTTCCAAGAAGGATAAAAGGTTAAACTTTTCAAAAGCTCCTAAGTTTTAACACTATTGACAGTTTTAACAAGTACAGTGGAAGCAGAAAGGAGGTAATATTTAGCTGTTAAAGGAACAGTTCTCCACCTGTCAAAAGGCAGCTGAGCTTAACATTTCAGCAAAGAAATCCCTAGTCAGTATTACTCATGTGCCAGAAAGGAAAGCCTTGTACTTAAAGGTGATAAAGTCTGTTAAAAACAGTCATTTTGCCATCTAGCCAAAATGTTTTTAAGAAAAGAATGATTTTAAGAAAAGAATGAAAACCAGCTGTTGCACAAAACTAACCACCATAACAGAATTTTATTATTATAAGTAAAATATTGATTATAGCTACTTTTAAAAATACACAGTTGCAGACACATGCTTTTTCAGTTAGTTCCCAAGAACTAAACTGCTCACATATGTCTACCAAGATGCAAAAAAACCACACATGGTTTTCATACTTGAGGAAGAAAATGAGATTGATATAGGGAGAATACAGCACAGGTCTCTTCAGACGCAGAGCAGAAGGTGTAACCTATTCAAATTTTGTATTTCTGTTTCCTTTCAAGACTCTGAAGTATCTTCTAGACTTTGTTGACAAGGTAGCAAATGTCAGCACTGAATTAAAACACAGTGGTTCAGAAAATGTCAACAGCTTTTATCTCCAGCATGTATTTTTGCAGATTTTTATCAAAAAAACCTACAGCATGTAACTCATGTCATACTAGCAAGGTGTTTTTTTGGTATTAATGATGTTTTTTGCTAATTCACAAGCACAAAGCAATCTTTATAAATAATAGCATTAGAAAACTACAAACTGGATACAATATAAATGAAATCCTGCATGCATCATGCTTCAAAAAGCACATTTTTCTAAGTAGTCTGGCTTTACATTAGGGAATTCTGTGCTATTTTTGCAATCTGATGTTAAGGAATTTCCACTTGCAGATGTTGTATTGGTAATTCAAACTGCACAAATTCACTCTGAGTACTGAACAGTCAAATATCTTTTTATTTCACTCAATCATCAGTAGTGATAGGTACTAAAAGGTCACATTATGCACTCTACTATATTTATTCAATAAAACAGTTTCCTGACTGTGGCAGTTCACACTTAAAAGTAATACCTTATTCAGACTTAACATTCAGACCGAGATGGTGACATTTATATTGTTATAATTAGCATAATCATAATTGCATAAAATATGCAAAGCTTCATGCTTCCTGTTACTCAATTCACTCCAAGAACTTTGGACTCTAGAGATTTACTTTTATTTACAAACAGCAGAGAGAAATTTCAGCTGTAGCTGTACCGTAAGAGTACACTGCCCTTGACAAAAGGGGCAGCAGTAAGATACACCACATGGTATGGTTTGTTTGTTTTGCTGGGGTTTTTTATCCTCCCTGTACCATCTGCAAACAAAATCTTTTAATAGGATTTTTGAAAGCCACTTGATATCCTCTGGAACAGCTCTGGCAAAGATTTAGGTTGTCTGCCTAGTCACAGTTACCATACATAATCAATTTTATTCACTAAGTGGACTGCAATTTATTTGTCAAAAAGAAACTTGAAATGCCACTGTGTAATAAAAAATTTAAAAAAACTAAAAGGAAGGTATTTTAAACAAAAAGCACTTTTGGAGGCAATTCAAGAGGCATGAGATACTCACCAACCCCCAATATAACCAATCAGCATACTAACATAGTATGAAATTATACATGTTTAGAACAACGCCCTCCTCCAGAAGGCTGTCCAGTCTTTCTCCTCTCCAGATTGCGCTACAACCCAAGACAGCTGCTGGTATATATCTGACATTTTCTTCTCAGTTGCTTCCTTGTACTCAGCATTCCCACTGAACCTTCTTCCTTAGCTTCACAGCCCTTCATCCCCATCTTTGATGCTGACGTCCATATCTCTCTAGTGACTACTCCCTGTCTATTCTACACCCTGACATGTTTACTGAGACCTTGACATTCATGGTTGGGCAAACAAATTGTTAAATCTACAGTCAACATAAGGTGTAACAAAAGTTGTTTGTTCTGCAGTCTGGAAACAACTCTTTGTCTCCGTTTTAACTGAAATACTGTAGAATTTTAGCAGACATGCTTTGCCTGCAATCCTAAAATCAACACTTGTAGTGATTTCAGCTTTTCCTCCAGACAAAAAGCCTTAAATATTTGCTGATGCAAGAAACCTAGATAAGCTACAGGAAAACTAAAATTTTTTGAAATAATCTGATTAATTTTAAGTTTTCTCTTACAACAGAGCTTTTATAATTAACGCTATGCTACCTACACACATTCTTGCCATTAACAAAGTATAGGATTACCTGTGCTCTGTTGTGACAGCACAGAGAATCAGAAGCTCTACCAGTTAAGAGTGGAAAGCAGGCAAAAGAGCCTGACTGTCCAAGACAAATTTGCAGGTTTGGAACACTCCTCCTGCCCGTAACAATTCCTTTTGTGCTGATCCTAAGAGCTATTTATTCAAGAACCCATATGGGTGTGCTCAGAAGTTTACATCTGTCCATTCTGCAAAAAACTTACCAAACGCAACGCTTCTCAAAAATACATCAGAACTGCTGGGTGCAGCACAATTTTACAATTTTTGGTTGAATTCAAAGTTAGGTGCTCTGAAGCAAGGGCATTTTGTTGGCATTCATTTGCACCCAGTCCTTTCAAAACAAATGTAGACTCTCCACCATCCAGATTTCTTTCTACCTGCCACTTCCAAAATACACCTTTGCAGCACCACATAGCAGACCTGAATTTACATCTCTCCTGCATACTGTACTATACTTTACAGGTATCAGCATAGCACAGGGCCAACGGTTACCACTTTCCCTGTTAACTATAACAGCTGTACTGGATGCTACCAAACAAGCAGTTACCATCCCCAGCCAGAGTGGAACATGCACTTAAGCACACAAAAAAAGCGTACAAATACGATATGTCAGAACACTATATATGCAAGGAATTACAGAGAAATTTTTTAAGCACAGAATTTCTTACACAATGTACAATTCGGGAGTGATGTGACTGAAGCAACAAGTCAAGTAAAGAACATATGCAGTATTACACACATGGATAATCAAGCTGTGGGTAAGTAGCAAAGATGTGAGTAAGATCGAGATAAAGATGGAGTTTGCCATCAACAGATGATGTTGCAACACCATGAGAAAGGCAGCAGAAAGAAATCCTAAAGTCTTGTAACAATCAGATCACATGTTTCAGGAAAAAGAAAATGAAGCTACTACTGAGACGGGTTGAATTAAGGATAACTCAGTGAATAACTGGCCTGAGTAACATTCACTGCATGAAAAGGAGACACGGGGAGAGGTTAGACTCCAGGCTTTGCTTTGGCTAGTGCGTTTTAACTAGCAACTGAAGAGTATAGGACTATTCCGATTTACATATGAACACACAGTTGTAAGAACACAGACATAGTTTCATTCAGGCAGTTAAGGACAAAAAGAAAAACCAAAACAGAAAAAACAAATACAACCCTCACATTTTTCAGCCTAAAACAAGTCTCAGAAAATAAACAGGACGAAGGATGTCCCATCAGAATCCCACAGGAAGATTTACTAGTACAAGGAGAAGCAATCTTCCAAGCTACGAATCTAACTGCAAGACTACCATACTCAGTGTTCAGAAAGCCAAGAGTAAACAAAATCTTAACGCAATGTCCACAGCCAAAGCCAAGCTGACTTGACTCAACTTCATGAGACACCACCAGTTCTACGAGCTATGCCATTCTGGCTCAAGAGAAGGCTTCCAAGTGCAGGTGCTCCAAACTCCTGTAAGTTCCACAGCCAGGACAAATTGTTCACTACCCCTACTTGTAAGTAACGCTAGATGAAACCTTACATGCAGATGAAACATAGCGATCCAATATTCTTCTGTTTCATCTTTTGGTTTAAATCAGTTCCACTTCAAGTCAAAAACACGAGAAAATACAACAGAAAAGTTGAAATAGTTTTTATACAGAGATGCACAAAAATCATATTCACATTCCCTCTTAAAAAGCAATTAATTCTTCTGTTTTCGTTTCATTTTTCTTTCAACCTGTTTCTAACACAAGATGCTGCAAAACATGCAGTTTTCCATTTGAAGGTGTTAAAAATAAGCTTTCATATTTTCTATGCTGAGAAGTGGCCATTTTTTTCTATTGAATACTGAATACAAAACATGGCATTTTGACTCATCCATCTAAACAACCAGGCCTAGATTTACAAAGTTTTTTTAAATCCTAGCATACTTATGCGCTTTAGCCTTTGGCCCATTCCCCCCTTAACAGCTCATACAATGCTTTAAGGATGTGACTTTTCAGATCACTTACGATTTTTGAAACTTGTGTTGGTTCAGCTGGTCGGTTACAGTACTTCCAGACACTAGACCTAGCGTATGGAAACTTCACCACTGCTTTCACCATTTACGTTCATTAATTGTTCAACCCTTCCTTAAAGATTGGGTAAGTTCATAAAATAAATCCATCCACTACTCTCCCCTCACCAACACACACTGAGTTTTTTTACCTCTTCTGGCCCTTAGTCTCCCTTCTATATAATATTCACCTTCCGTGTTTTTAATATCTCAACCACGACAACAACTGCATACCCTTTACAAAGATTTCCGCCCTATGAGCATTTAAAAAAATTAAGACAATTTAAGATGCATCTTCCTTTCACAGAACTGTTGCGTTAGGCTGCCAATGACAAACACTGCTATGCATGAATACCTGAACTCCAGCTTGTTCCTCAAAATGGTGTCTGACTACTGTTTCCAGTGGGGCACGTTTATTTTGTTTTTTAAGCACAAAACCCAGCTAAAAACCAAACTGATGGTTCTAGAAGCCATGAAACTAGTTATGATTCATTTCCTTTGGACTTTCTACATAGTACAATTGGATCCTCTGATATCTAACAAAGGCAAAAGTTCTGATCATAGTTCTTCTTGCAGTGGAAACAATTCCTGATCTTTTTCTTCCCTTTCTCATTTAGGTTCTCCAATATTTAAGAACAACTCAACTTTTGTTATAGCCCCTTTCTCTGTGGCAATAGTTTGACCTCAGTTTTTCATTAAGCTCACAGGAACTCAATAGCTTTGAATGAGCTATCACTGGTGAATTAGCTATCGCTGCCAAGTGAGCTAAAGTCAGATTAATGATTTTTGAAGAGTTATTTAAGGGAGAACAAGTACTTTCCTGAAGGAATGAAATGGGCATAACCTGTGCAAAAGATTTATTAAAACTTCTTACCAACAGTTTAAATTACTACAAAACGATTACGTAAACGAGCTTTTGAAACTGCTTTAATTTAGTTTTTTGCTCTGCAAAGCGTCACTATAGAAAAACTTGGAATATCCATTGTTATAATTTCTAACCGTTTTCAGTAATGATAAGAAGGTACAGAAAAATCTGGTTCACCAGAATTTAATTTTTTTTTTCTTTTTAAATGGAAGGATAGTTCCTATTGCACTTCTAAAATTCCTCAGGGGTATCATTACTGATGTGGCAGCTTAAGACCATTTGTTATAAAACCTCATCCTAAGAACCACATTCTTCTAACTACATCCCCTTTAAATTCTGTTGTTTCATCACCATGATGTAACACCTGGATTCAGAGTATACATGACTGTAGCTCAGTGTAAGAGGGTAAATAAAAATGACTGCTATTTATATGCATAAATCAAGGAATTAGAAATTACTGTCTAGGTATCTAGCTACAGAGGAGACAAACAGCCACAGTGTACACACAGCATTAATAAACACCACTCGGAGACAAGCAAGGATACTTATCCTGACCAGGACCTCCAGGGGGAAACTGCCATTTGCAAAATTTCCGAGAAGGAAGGCTGGTTCTGATAGTACCAGAGATTCAACTGACTGTATGAATAGCATTCAGTTTATTCCAACATCACATTGAGGACACAATACAGTAATTTTACAGCTACAATGCAAGTTTAATGCTTCAGAATAGGTCGGTCCATTGCAATCTCGTGCACATCACAAAACGACACATAAGGCTTGGTCTGCTCCTGATTTCTCCTTGGGGAATGGGCAAGCCAGGTTGAAGTGGCTGCTACCACGAAGTCATCCAGTCCAGAAGCTGTCCTGCCAAGTTTAAAACTACAGCTTCACATGCTACTGAAACATCCCCACACTGCCAAGAAGACAGTTCTTGAACCATTTGTCAGCGTTTCCTAATGACCATATGAGGAGCCAATTCTTTACCCATTTCATGTATCTTTCTGAGCTAAGGAACAGCCCCAATCACGTGCTGGCCTTCACCATGAAGCATGCTAACTATGAAAAAGAGGAACCGTAATTTGCTACTTTACAAAAATGCTTCCACTGCAAGAATGTAATTCTTCAGTTTACCAAAGAGAGTGACATTTTTTGTGTCTAAGACAGGGCACACATTTCTACGCTATTCAGCTGTTTAAGTGAAGATCTTCCATCAACCGTGTATTGTCCTAGCAAAACTTCTTCCACCTCCGAACAGGTTCTAATTCTAGACCCTAAAGAGGAAGAGGAGATGAGTCCTGATCCTGAGCATCAATAGTTTAGGATGTTTCTAGATCACTCTACCCTGAAGCCTAAAACCAATACACAAGACCCCTATTCCATAAGCAGCTGCAGCCATTCTGACATCAAATGAAGTAACCAGCCATTTCTCTCCTTTTATTATGAATGTTAAACTGCAGTGAGATGACCATTATGGTGTATCCGAGCTACATTTTGACTACAAAGTGGTTAAACCATACGTGATACCAATTACAGGTGTAGACTCAGTGTGTCTCACTATAAACATGAGTCAGTAATTACTTCACGAAAAACAGAGCATTTCTCTGCACACACAGCCAATTTAGTAGATAATTATTCATCTGAACAAGTGTGTAAAACATCAGAATGTAAAATTAAAATCTAGCAAATTGTTGCACATTCTCAAGCAAAGGCATTAGGCAACTTCTAACTTGTTAAAGATACTGCACACAGGAATTCATACTGAGAGGGAGGGAAAAGACATGGACGTTTTCTAACACCTTCACAAAAAACAAGCAGAGCCTAGAGTCCCTGACAATGCCAATAGGAGGGTCTGTGTGCATTACCTCTAGGGAGAACAAACTCTATAATTATTCCAGGATTTTCTGTTACTCTGATGATTGGATGACACTGTCCCTAAAAAAGTCCTCATCCCCACCCCAAAAACCACACTCACCTCCCCACACACATTCACTTCTGAGAAAAAAAACAGTAGCAACTCAAGCAAACTAGCTATCTAAAATCTTCAAGTGGTGAATGCACACTGTTGAAGCATCCAAAGCAAAGTCTGTAAGTATTAAAACTATCTTCAATTCATGACTTCATCAACTATCTGACAATTTTTAACAGAAAACCCTTAGTTTACTGCATCATGAAGCCTAGAACACTGTGTGAAGCTGCCCTAGTTAAAATGCTCACCATTACCCATGGACTTCCTGAGCATGACCTACAGATGTTCAGATAAAGCACCAAGCATTAGCTTACTGCAGTTTATCATTAATTCAGACAATTCTATCAAGTTCAAAATAAATCTAATTTATTATACAGCAAATTATTGGTATGCCTCCATTACTAGAGGAGGAACACGCACTAGCAAACCTGGACTTTCATTCATACTAACTATACCAGTTCCCTGGAAGAATAAATCATGCTGTATCAACAAAAATATCTTAGTAAACACACCAAAAAATTCTTAGTCTAGACTTTGTGTAGACCTCTGGGGAAGAGCAGTATTGCTCCTACCCCAAAGAGCCTGCTGATTACATTCTCCTGGGAGGCAGAGGCTTGAACTGCCCTTGACGTACAGAACTGAAGCGAAGTCTCCCACTTCCATGGGCAAGTGAGCTTGTCACTGTAATACTATTACAGCTACAAGTGGCAGCTGTCTCTAAAAGCAATTGAAGACCATACACACTGTTCCTCGTAAGTGCCTCCAGGACGACACCATCCTCTGGACAACAAGCCAGATGCCTCTAGGCCATTCCAAAAGGGAATGGATTGCAGAACATGTGAATCATGGTGGTGTCTAACGCTCATTTTTGTGGAATTTTTGCTTCAATCTCATTCCAAAATGCTTTATTTTTCAATATACTGCAAAACAGACATTAGTCACACTTTTGGATTCTACTCAAGAGTCACATGCCAGTACTTTGCACATACGCACCCACGTCCTTATTTGCTTAATAACTCCGCATCACCACTTGTTCTCCGAGGTCTTGTCCGCTGAAGAGATGTATCTGCACTTTATCAGCACAAAACTCAGAGTTCTGGCAAGGAAAAATTTTCTGGAGGCGTAATACTGCTCTAAAGTTATCCCCCAAACGGTCATGAATTTCCACTTTGCCTCTCTTCACAAACTAAGCATACCACCAATTCAACATGTCCACAGCTGCTACTTCATTAATGTTCTCATATTCCACACACAGTATTTATGGGCTTACAACATAATGTAAACAAAATTGAGAGCACATAAGACAGCACTTACAATATTACTGATGGTCTTATATAAAGACGTTTGCCCTGAAAACTCATACTGGAAGACATCACTTACAAATGTGACGTATGATGTGTTGTATGTCGTCTTCCATCTGTATTTTCAGTCAACTCATATTAACCACTGCTTCTAAAACTCCCTTACTACATGCTTCCACCTCAGTCTACAACTTAAATATTTATCTTGAAACATAACACAGCTGATTAAATAAAGAGCTGACATGACCAGCACACCTGCTGAGATTTAAAAGTTTAGAAAGAAGGCCATCTGCAGACAAAAGCCCAGTTTTTAACCCCCAAAATATTTAGTTCTTCTTTCTTTCATTCATTACATGTTGTTCAGCACTTACTTGAAAACAGCAATAAATAAGGACATTTACAAAGAGTACAGTAGTGTTTTTCAGAGGATTAAAATATCCATTTCAAAGCATGTTTGGTACTTCCACGGTTCTTAATCGTTAATAAAAAGCAGTGATGTAAAAAAAAAAAAAACCAAAACACACACCACCACCAGTTAACTTTTGAAGATATTTTGCACTACCAAGTTACTTCACCACATTGAATTTTCTACTTGTACATCAACCTGTAACAGATTCTCAGGTTTTATTATTACTATGAGACTGCAAGTACCAAATTATAAAATATTTTCAAACTCTGGACTAGTAAAACATTGTCCAAGTACAACACATACTCTGCTTCCAAATGTGTTAGCTTTATCACAACATGACATTAGCAGAAGAAAGAAAAACCCCAGCAGAACTCCCCAATTAGTGCTATGCACAGAAGATGAAGGACATTCCATAGAAAATGCTTCCCCTGTCCTTTGCACTCTCTTTGTGCGTGATGAGTAATTTTCCCTAAAAGAATTTTTTCACCCTTTGTAAGTGTCTAAAGGC